AAGAAATTGAGATGTCACTTTAAAAGAAAAGAAGGCACTTCCGGCTTGAATATTGAAAATAATTATTCAGACTACAAAAATGGCACGTCGCCGGATTAAAGCATACAAATGAAGGACAAAGTACAAGGTACAAGTACAAGGAGTAAAAGAAGGAAACAAAACTACTCAGCATCAATGACAGGATATAGAAGACAGTTGGGAAGACATCTCAGCAGCTTTCTCGGCCTCGAGCTTCAGCATCGATCTCTCCGCAGAGTTCGATCAAAGCTCTTCTCAGCGATTGGCACCTCGGAGTTTGAAGGCAAGGATTGAAAACAATAATCTGGAAAAAGACACAGAAAACAGAAACAAGAATGTAATTCATAATCAAGATGGTGAATGAAGTTATCAGAAATCAAAGACAAAAAGATTGCACAGGTGTGTCAGCCAAGAACAGTGGTAGAAATCAACAGATGTATGAACAGTGTGTATTCAAGAGATGATTTAGAAAAACAGGTAAAAATTTCTCCATTGAAAGGTTCTTTTTTTCCTATATATTGTTTTTATTTTAGATTTTTAAATGTTAAAATCTCTTTATTATCTAAAACTCCTTATCTCTTTTATTTTTTGTACTTTTTATTTTGTTTAATCTTTTCCAATATCTTCATTTATTTTTAATTTTTAATTTTTAATTTTATTTTATCTCCAATCCTATCATTATCTCAAAATTCATTTTTATCATATTTTTCAAATAATCATTTTTTTAATAAATTTTATATTTAATTTTCATAATAAATTCGGGTTTCTTTCTATCTCATCATGATCTCTAATTTCATTTCTATCTTAATTTTCAAATGCTTCACACTTCAACTATATATTCTGTAACACCCTAGTAAAACGTACAGAAACATGCCAATACAAACACCACATGTACCCCAAAAGTCATCTTTCTCATTGAATTAGGACTTAAAATATTACAATTCAACATTTTGTTGGAAAATTTGAAATAGAATTTACTTCAATGGTTGTGTCTCTTGAGATGGAAGAGTGTGTCCTTTTGAAGGGTCACAAAAGAGTCACGAAAGAATCTATAAATTACATCTCCCTCACTTCAATTTGGACAGATATTTCGTCATTTCTTCTTCATCTTTGCATTTATTCTTCATATTTTCCTGAGTCTAATTTTTCTATAAGGAGAGTGCATGCACAGCGAAGCTCGCTAGGCTTACAATAGTAGTGTTGCTAGTGCAAGACATTGATTGTTGTATCTTGGGAGATAGACACCCATTGAATTGTGAGCACCAGTGAGATGACGAATTTATCTTAATGAAAGAGTTTCACACACTCGACTCGATCAAGTTTTATCTATTTATGTACTGTAAGTTTTGTTACGTTATTATATTGATTTATTTCAGTTTTGGTTTTTCCCAAAAACCATTTACATATTTTTAAATTATATTTTTCATATAGTTTGGTACTATTTTTTCTAACAATCTTAAGATAAACTTGATCTTGTTTATGGTTTTTGGGAAAATATAATTGATTTATTATTTGTATATGGCGAATTGCATGAGCCGGTGGCACTGCAATATGTTGGACCATCATTTTTTTTTCTTCTTCTTCAATATTCAAATTTATTGATTGATGGTTGTTAATAGTTTATATGCAATTATTATTGTTGTATAACTGGAAACTTGCATCGTAAATAGAACTTATCATAATAAATATTTGTTTCTGTGATGTTAGTCATCATTCGAATATATGGTATTAAAAAATGATTGTTCAAATAAATTATTTTTGTGCATTCTTTATTTGGAGATGGAATGATACAACTTTGAATTTTACTGCATGATTACAGTATACTTTCGTGTACTATCAGTGTGTAGAGAGAGGAACAGATAAAGAAAACCAGAGAGAGACAGAGAGGTGCATGATACGACTGGACATCAAATTCCAGAAGTTAAACAGCCATCTCTTTCTCTTTTTTCACTTTGTTCTTTGTGGCATTTCGGAAAACTTTCTATAGCACCAGATTTCTCTGTTTATGTGCCTTGTGTTAATTGTCTTCCATCTGTACTTTGCTTGGTATTTGCCATGATGGCAATGATGGTCTATATAGAAAATTTTTATATATAAATTTTTTTATTTTTTAATTTCGTTCATTTATTAGAGAGTTGGTTTTCTGGTTAAATTAGAACTATCTAGAAACAATTTTTTGTTTTATTTAAAACTGTTTTGTTTATATAAACTATGCTGGAACAGTTTATTTAAAACTATTTTTTTTCAACGGTGCTAGAAAGAGTTGTTTTTCAAACTATTTTTTTTTATTATTTATTTTCTTATTCTAGAAATTGTTAAACTGGTTTTGAACAGTTTATTTTTTTGGTTTTCCTATTCTGAAATTTAAACTGTTTTTCTGTATTTCCAGTTCTGGAAATTTTTGTTTAAATTTGTTTTCTGATTTTTAGTTCTAGAATTGTTTTTAGAAACTGTTTTAACAGTTTTGACTGGTTTTTAGTGCTAAAAATTTTAATTTATTTGTGTCCATGCTTACATATGTTATAGAGTTGATAATTAATGTTTACAATTATCGTAAGACATTTGCTTTCAGTTGTGAATATTGTTTAAGGATAATATAATGGATCCACTAACTACTCAATAATATATAACTGAGAAGGTCAAAGGAAAAATAACGGCCGCTAAACAAAAAGTTTGACCAGAGAGCGAATAAGGAAAAGTTCATCGAAGGGAATATGGTTAAAGCCTATTAAATCAGAGTCATCATAATGGTAACCCTACTTAGATGACCGGAGATCCCAAGAACTAAGTTCAAAGGGACAACTAAATTATGTATGGCTCGCCAGAAATCACTAAAGGAGTCTATCTCCTATCCATTTCTATGATGAGAGTGATATCTGCAACATGTGTTGTATGTAGGGGACTTAGGGTACGTTATGCTTTTTATGATCACTTATATCTTGAAAACCCTAGAGAGGTATCTTTCAAGAGGAGTATTTAAGAGACTTGAAATAAGGATCGCCTATATGAATGTGAAGGGGCTGCTTTTATGAGAATTGATAAGGCTAAATTTTTTAAAGCACTCATGAAACACCAGGACATGCCCAAGGCTGAAACGGGCACAATCGTGAGAATTAAGCCGTGTCTGGAGATATTTTGTGTGAATTCTATTATCTTGGCTTACACAAACGGCTGAACAGTTCAAGGCATCACATCCACTGATTAGCTAGTAAGTCCGATAGGCTTTCATTAGGGAAGGTTCAAAGCCAAAAACTACATATCCTGATACAGGGTATTTCCTTAATGTACTCTCTCTTTGTTTGCATGTTGTTGTATGCCCTTTCTATAAATTTTATTCATGTGGTGGATTGTTAGAAAATTTGAATTAAAATTTACTCCAATGGTTATGTCTCTTGAGATGGAAGAGTGTGTCTTCTTGAAAGGTCACAACCTTTCTGAAGAGTCACGGAGGAATCTATAAATTCCATCTCCCTCACTTCAGTTTGGACAGAGAATTTGTTATTTCTTCTTCATCTTTGCATTTATTTTTCACATTTTCTTGAGTCTAATTTTTCTATAAAGAGAGTGCATGCTTAGCGAAATTCGCTAGGCTTGCAATAGTAGTGTTGCTAGTGCAAGACATTGATCGTTGTATCTTGGGAGATAGACGTCCACTGAATCCTGAGCACTGGTGGGAGGACAAATCTGTCTTAAAGAAAAAGTGTCACACACTCGACTCAATCAAATTTTATCTATTTATGTACTGTAAGTTTTGTTACGTTATTATGTTGATTTATTTCAGTTTTGGTTTTGCCCAAAAAACTGTTTACATATTTTTAAATTATATTTTTCATATAATTTGGTACTATTTTTCTAACAATGTGCAATCACTGATATCATACATACGGACGAATTTATTGGGCATAGAAATAAAGAAGTTGTTTGAGGCTTATTTTTCTCTTTCAACTGTCTCATTCTTAAATGCTACTTTAGAAAAATTTTCCACTACCATAAATTAGTATATTTTTAACAACTCCATGCTCAATACATAATTCACAAGCTAACGAAAAACATTGGCGATGTTTCTTTGGTGGGTCATAATAAAGACTACAGAATGAACAAAGATACAAGTGAAAACATCAACAGTAATTGATTATATAGTAACAAGTATAACATCAAAAAAAGAAAAAAAAAGAAAAGAAAAGATATACCTTAGAATGAATGAAGAAAGACGAAAACTGTATGAACTTGGACTAATTAAAGGTGGATTTGTCAAGGATAATGAGAGAGCAACAAACACACTTTTGTTTATTGTGTGTGTTTTTCTTTGTCTTTATATTTAGAGTAAATTACGTTATTAGTCCTTATAATTTAATCGAGTGTCACTTTAATTCTTATAGTTTGAATTTGAATAATTTGGTCCTTATATTAAAAGGATGAAAAGAATGATTTGGCTTACCTTGAATAAGGTACATGTCATGTATATATAATAGATTCATGATACAATTTAAGAAATGATATAAATAAGGAAACGATATAAATCAGTGATTGACACAATCACAAATTATATACATAATACTAAAAATAAAAAGATTTTATGTACTCTAATTTTTATATACACTCCTCCTCAAGCTAGTGTGAAGATATTCAACAATCGTAGCTTGCCAATGGATGACTGGAGTAATATTGGTCCTACAGAGTTTGTGAATATATATGCTAATTGCTGAGAGGAAGACAAAGGATGAGCTCACAATACCAGTCCGAACATTTTTTCGAATGAAATGAATCAACCTCTATATGCTTAGTATGCTCATGAAGGACATAATCAGAGGACAGCATAATAGCAAACTTGTTGTCACAAAATAAGGAGGCAGGACCAGTTTACTCAAAATCCAACTTTTCTAAGATAGAACGAAACCATAGAATCTCACATGTCCCCTTGCCATAGTTCGATACTCAGCTTCTGTAGAAAATCTAGAAACAATTACATGCTTTTTACTCTTTCATAATATAAGATGATCACCATAGAAAGGATAGAAGCCATAAGTAGAATGCTGATCAATTCTACATCCTGTATAGTCAGTATTAGTGAAGTAAGAGAGCCTAGATTGAGGAGCGACTGTAAAGAATAATCCCAAGCCAGGAGAGGTCTTCAAATATCTTAAAATGTGATGAACCGCATCAAGATGTTCTATACGAGGTGCATGCATGAATTGACTAACAACATTGACTGCAAATGTCAAGACAGGTCTAGTGTTAGTCAAATAAATTAGACGTCCAACAAGATGCTGATACATGTCTGGGTCCTCTAAGAACTCACTAGACTTTGATGTGAGCTTAACATTAGGATCTATAGGAGTAGAAGTAGGTTTACACCCTAACATACCAGTATCCTAAAGTAAGTCAAGAGTGTACATTCTCTAAGATAAAGAAATTCCTTGCTGTGAGCGAGCCACCTCAATCCCAAGAAAATACTTGAGACTCCCCAAATCCTTAATATCAAAGGTGTCTCTCAAATCCCTTTTTTACTTGATCAATGCCTATAGAATCATTACCTGTGAGAATAATATCATCCACATAAACCAACAAGACTATATACTGACTGGTTGAATTATGATGGATGAAGCAAGTATGGTCGGAGTGGCACTGAACAAACCCCATGGAGATGATGACAGACGCTCATCACTATCAATGGTGGAAAAGGCCTCATAGAGGGATGACATGGGCAATGTGTTTAAAATCTGAGTTCGAAGAGATTCAAATTCAGAGTTTAAACCCACCAGAAATTGTTAAGTGTGCTGGCGGGCAAGGCGGCTGGACACAAGAGCAGCGACGTCTGTTGGTAACTCAATCAAGGGTTCATATTGGGCCAATTCCTCCCAATGAGCTTGAAGGTATCTAAAGAACTCTGACATAGAGAGACCCAAAGCCGACTGGGAGGCACGAGCAATGTCTTAATAGGGCTTAAAGATGCGAGCATCATTATGAGCATGGGTATACATCTGAGACAAGGCATGCCAAAGACTCGAAAAGTGTCACAATAAAGAAACATGTGGTAATTATGGTCCTTCATGGAGTTGAACATCTATCATAAAATTGTGCAATTATCTATATTCCACTGGGCATGTGTAGGATCAGTCTCTGCAGGCTAAATAGAAGATGAGAGCCTATTTATTAGCCTAATTAAAAAGAACAACTTTAAAAACAATAATTAATACTTCTTAATTAGGGTAGTAGATAGTCAAGTAACACGTTGTTTTTTATTTAAAAATTTAATAAGGTTCAAAATGTATCGAAACTTAATTTGTTTATCTTTTTGAGTATATTTTAAATGAAATCCGAACAACTAGTTTTTTGATGGTGTATATAAATTTTTTGAGTTGAACTCAAAATATTATTTAGTTTAAAAATGTATTTAAGAGCGATTTGTTTGCATAACAAGTAAATTTCGAATGAATTTTTAATGAGTGTATGAGTCAAGCTTAAATGACTTGAAATCCTATTCTTAATCAAATTAAGGGCAAATTATACTCGTAATCCCTGTAATTTGTCACTTGTATCAATTTAATTTTTATAGTTCTAATTGTATTAATCTTAATTTTGAATTTTTCACATTGTATTAATTTAGTCTAATTGATATTGTCCCTTTGGTAATTTGATTAAAATAAAGCTACAAAATTATTTGTTTGAGAGGTTAATATCCATTTTGTAATGATTTATTTCCTTTTGAATAGACCATTTTGCCCTTCATTTTTATCAAATTTCTTAAATATATTATCAAGTGAATTAAATTAACACAATAGAATCACAAATATGTATTAAAAAAAATTCAAAAACTTTATTTACAAAGTCAAAGCCAAACCAAACCGAATGAATGTTAGCTTCATTGGATTGACTCAAAAGCAAGTTTGCATTAAAATATTGGTGTTATTGGAAACATTACTGTTAGGTTTTTGTAATTGACAATCTCGCTTGACAAAACAGCCTTTAATTGTAATTTTATTTATTTATTTATTTATTTTTTGTTTCAGTGAGGCTGTGAGTATTTAGATTTGTGTTGACATTTTGTAGTTTGAGCATTCCTTATTTGTCATTTCGCTGACTATCCAAGGGGCAGTGCCCCCTTGTGGGTTCGAGGTAGCGCCCAGGCAGGATCGAGGAGTGGCGCCCAAGGAGAAAGTCAAAGAGGTTTGATCGCTTGAGCGGTCTTTTGTGCGCTTGAGTTGTGAAGTGGTTCATCTAGTATTTCAGTCTACATTCAGAACTTCTGGAAAACTCGTTTTACCGCTATAGCAGTAAAAGTTGTGCTCGAGTGGTTGGTCTATATGTTTGCACTGCCTTTTACTCACACCTCTCGAGCGGTGAAGTGTATGCTCGAACGGTCTTCGTGGCTCTGTTTAGTATCAAGTGCGCTATTTGTGACTTTTAAGGTTTAACCCGTCTAAATTATCAGAGATGAGTAAAATACAAAGTGTTATATATTGGAGGGTATTTTTATAAGAGTTTTCTTGATGTATAGAAGGTGATTGATTAATCAACGAACTACATAAGGTTAAACATCAAGGGTTATTTTTATTTTTTCGTTTACATAAAGAGAGGTGTTCATCAATGGATTTTGGAAAACTTGGGCCTAAAGCTCTGATGAATTCCAGATTGGCTCATCGTCATGGATTCGACATTGGCATTGTGGATTTAACGTTGGGCAAAATAGTTTCGACGTGAAGACGGTGGTGGAAAAGACACATCAGATTTGATTCAATTTGGACATGGATTTGCTAGATGATTGAGGATACTCATGTGTAATTCCTTTTTGTCTTCTTAGTGGATTGTTTTGTAACTTTAGCCGGTGTTTTTTTTTTACATTTTTTTTAATCACAATTGGAGGTGTTCCAATTGGATTTTTTTTTGACGTTGAATTGTTGTGTTAATTTGTCGTTGATTATTTGATTGAGATTGATATTCACTGTTTTAAATTGAAACATAATCACGAATCAATCTCTCAAGAGTTTTTAGACTTTTCAATTACACTAAAGTTTTGTGGATTACCAAACAAACATTTAGATCTTTTATTCAATGATATATATATATATATGTTAATCATGTGATTTAATTTTCATAATGTCTAAAATATTATGAGATAAATTGTGATTTTTTAATATATATTTTACATTTTTTACCACGAAATATTATCTGTTAAAACATGTATTGTATGATGTATGTGTTACTATTTAAATAGATTTTACTGTGCATCATATATTTTAATATAAAGGTTACTATATAAGCCACTTTGCAACCTTTGTTTTTTATGTAATTGTGTCGAAAATTTTGTTATCATTATTTATTGAAAGCGACCCTGACCGAAACTTTCAAACTCCGTCGTGCTCCGTGTAATTTTCTTTCAGCATTAATCTTGCGAGTTGCTCGAGTTGCAATGTGCTTTCTCTGTATCCAAAGAGGAGCATCTTTCCTTCCAACGGATAGATTTTGTGCTATATAAGGAGTATTTTGCTTGGAGAAAAATACATGAAGTGAAGAAGAGAAAATTTTGCGATATTGAAATACTCTCAAATATTGTATTATGCTTTATTGAGTTGTATTTTTTGGGAGAAAATTGGTTGAGAGGTTGAGCAAAATTGTAAAAGAGTTTTCTATTCCGTATTTATATTATTCTTGTAAAAAGAGAGAATTTTTGTGAGTGATTGTTTTGGGATAAAATCACTTAGGTTAGGTGTGATTAGGTACCGAATTCAAAACTAGTTGAGATATTTTTGTGAGTGATTTTTGAGATAATATTACTTGGTTAGATGTGACTAGGCATCGTATTCTAAACTAATCGGAGTGATCGGGATTGGTCACTTATTGTAAAAGTTCACTAGTACTCGTGAAGCTAGTGGTATAATTAGGCTGCAAATGAATCGAGCTGTTCATGAATAAGCTCGGCTCGGCTTGGTTCATTTAGTAAACGAGCTGAGCTCGAACTCAAATATTAGGCTCGTTTAATAAACGAGCCGAGTTCGAGCTCACATAAGCTCAGCTCATCAAGTTCGGTTTGTTTATCTTTATTTAAATTATATAATAAATATATTATTTATATATTAAATAATAGTATAAATAATATTTTTTATTTAAATTATTTAAATAATATAAATAGTATTAAATTTTTTTTTATCAAACTGAGCTTGAATTTCATTAATATTAACGAGTTAAGACGAGCTCGAGCCTAATTTCTTATTGAGTTGAGCTCGAGCTCAACAAAATTCAGCTAAGCTTGGCTCGGTTCGATTCGTTTGCAGCCTTCAGTGTAATTACTATTTGAAGAATAATGGAGAAATTTCTAAGGAGGATACTTAGGGAGTGGATGTAGGTCTGGCGTGCTGAACCACTATAAATCGCTGAGTTTGCTTTCTCTTCCCTTTGCTCATTTTCTTTCATTTATTTATTTTATATTGTTGCACAAATTTATTTAGTTATTATTTGGGTTAATATTTTTAATTTGACAATTTATTTAAAAATCTAATTCACTCCCTCTTGGATTGCCTTCCTAGGATAACAATATATATATATATATATAGGTTTTTCTACAATTTAAACCTCTTTTGAGTGTTTAATTATTTGCAATTATAACTAAAAGAAATATAATGAGTCATAATTAAAGATTTCTTTGATCATATACAAAAAAATAACTAAGGTTGTTAAAATTGAGATCTTACGTTGGATCGTTAGAGGTGCTTACTAGATCAGATCGAAAATCGTAAGATCCTATCCAAAAAGATAAATTACGCAATAATTTAATTTAAATAAACATTTCTTAAAAAATATATATAAAATGAGCCTATATTCTATTAAAAATAAGTGAAAATATGGTGAAAAATATAATACCCCATATAAAATGTATATATAATATTATACAATAGAAAACTCAATGGTAAAAGTTTTGTATTTCATCAAAAAAGAAGGTGAATAAGAAGTATACTATAACAAAATACTTTACAATCTACAATAATACATAAAAAGTGAAGAAAAAATATTTAATAAAGTTGGATATAAAAATAGATTAAGAACTCAAAAGAGCGGCTTAACCGAATGATAATGTTTGTCGTTAGCATTCCTGATGGAGTGGATTTGAGTCACAAAAATAGTCTCTCCAAAAATTGGGGTAAAGTTGTAATCATCTTGCCCCCTCAGACTCTGCTAAAACTGAGTTTGTTTTTTCGACTAATTAGTTTTCTAAAATTACCGCAATATTTAATTTTTTGTTTCGTATTTTATTTATTTTTAGTCTATTTGATTCAATCCTACTTAATTTTTATTATTTATTTTGATCACATAAATTGATAATAAAATATGTCATACAATACAAAACAAGACTTGTAAATTGGATCGGATATGATTGGATTAATATCAGGATTCCACGATCCTATAAGATCCCATTACCAGGATCGAAAGATCTTATTTGTAAGGAATTTTTTACACAATCCAGATCGATTGTGTCAAAATGGATTGTAAGATTGTAGGATTGTTAGATCCAGATCAGAATTCTAATAACCATGATAATAACCACAATATCTCATAATTAAATCATAACTAATACTATAACAAGCCATAACAAATACTATAATTAGTCATAATCAAGGATCACAAAAGTCATAACTGAACATATG